CAACCAATATGGCTTATTTACAGCCCTGCTACATAATATCTGATATGATCAACTTTATGTAATTTCACTGAAGAAACCATATGGGGCAGAAGTTATCTTGTTTCTGACATATATCATTGAGGTTTTTAAGTAAACATAGTGTTGTGGATTGAGATATCCACATTTAAAACGAAGGAACTTCACATTTTAGAGAAAGAAATAACTTAAAAGTGAGACTACAGAAGTTATTTTATGAAATCATATATTTTTCTTAATGTTATATGTACGTTAGATAAATAAATGCACTTTATGGTAACTGTGCCATCCTAGGAAAAATACATTTATAAAATACATTAATTTTTATGTTGCAGTAATATTTCACAATGATTCTGTTTTATTATATTTTTGGATGAATAAATAGTAGCCTTGGTGAGCATATGAGATATATATTAGACACATGGTGTAAGGTAGATCCTGTTGATAAAGTGAGATTGTGGACTCCCAGAGAAGCACATTTGGGATATACACATCCTTCTAAAAATTTAATGGCTCAGTGATGGTCCAAATATTCACAAACCTTTTGTTTTCAGCACTGCCAAACAAAGTTAAGACTTTGATCTCTCTAACATATAAACATTCTTTGTATGTAGCTGTGGTTGTGTAAGCTGTCAGAAGATATAAGACTGTAGATATAACATGAAGCATAAGGAAAAAGACAGGCCTGTCTCAGATGGTGTACCTGATACTGTCAGATATTGAGACGCTGATGGATTAGAGGGTGAAATCGGACATGCATTTCAGATTATATGACTCCCACACATTCAATATTGAGTAGCTTGGGTTCAGATTGATCAGGGATCTCGCTGCTGTCTTTCTCAGGTCGCTGGATTTCGATCTTCCCCTGAACTCGAAACATACCTGTCTGAATAACATTACAAAGCCCTGGAGCCTCCACTGTCAGTTCTCACTTTCTCAGCCATCAATATGAAAACTGATAGATTATATCACATTTATATAATCTTAGAGAGACACAGTAAACACTTGAAAATATCTCCTCCAGGACCTGATTAATTACATAAAGGTAAAGTAAGGATGGCAGTGAGATACACTGTTGCAAGTGGCACACTTGATGTGGATGGCATTGGTCTTGCTAGATCCTATTTAGGGGGCTTTAGCTTCCGTGCCTTTCATGTGAGCTCCTATAAAAGCTGCCAGGAAAAAATATATAAAAATCTGCTGTTTGATCTCTCTTTATGTTTGCTGGAAAAAAAAAAACCTGCCACAAGGAGGTATAGTAAATATAAGAGTGGTAGGCTAATGCTAGTATGCACTTCAGAATTCAGCAAGACACTTGTTTTGTTATGGAATGAATCAGCGTTTTTGAAACAAATCGAAAAGATTCAAAACGTGGGGCCTCTTGCATAAGAAATAATTCAGGTAAACGGTTGAGCCCCAAGAAAAACTTAGAAGTCTTAGAATAAATGTTGTGGTCTTTGCTTATAAGTGAACCAGCTAACAAAAAAATATGTTTTAGTTATAAGTTATGAAAACGTTATTTCTGAATGTTCTCTGAACATTCAAAACATCCAGTTTTTTTGTTTAGTTTTTTTTGTTGCTAATGTTAAGGAAACATATAATTTTCCAAACATTATAGGAATGTTACTTTTAATTGTTCTCTGAAGATTCTAAAACACAGTCCCATAAAAAAAAAAAAAAAAAACATTTA